CGACTCGCAAGCTAGCTCAGAGGGTGTGTTGAAGAAGATAGTGTTTGGGATAATTAACTGATATTATGTGTGTTCATGTAATAGCTCACGTTAACTCAGGCATGCTGACAGAAGAAGCCGTTCTCTCCTCATAGGATAGGTCTCGGAAGGGATCAAGACAAGGTGTCCGTGAGGGTACAGAGGCTAGTATTATGAGGATATGCTATGTGTATTCATTCGCTTGTATAGATTGTCCTTGCCTCGAGAGTTGCTGCAACAGGTGTGATGGTGGAGGCTAGAAATGTGATGTGCTATAGACTTGTTGCATCTCGAGGGAGGTGTTGGATCTTCGCCTGGGCTATTGTACATGTCTATGGTGGGCCCAGTCTTCCGAATTGAAAGACGCGGCGATAGTTTGCGCACTGATCCCTATATAGAATCTTCCTATAATATCCTTTTATATTTGTTATAAAAAGTGTTTGAGATGTATATTGCTGTCATTAACATGCATTCACAAGGCGATAGACAGAGTCACAAATAAAGCCACCAAACCCACGGTGTATCCAAATACCCACCTTCACCAGCGCTGGGCCAGACTTTGCTGAGGACACAGTGTTTGTGGGGAGGACAGGAGCTGCAGGCCGAGGGGGAGGCTGATCTGCAGTTGGAGGAGTTTTCAAGAATTCAGGAACTGTTGGGGACACTGAAGCAAACTGATGGAAAAGACAAAAAGGAACAAGTCTGTGAAATTAATGATCATAAAAACAGAAAAATTAGAATTACAAGGGAATGACCTAGTTTTTAAGTCCACTAGAAAAGAAGCAAAGGAAAAATATATGTCTGAGGCCAGATGGTGGAATAACATGCTTTACGCCTCAGTGAAGCCAATCATTTAGTCTTTGCTCCAAGAGCAGTGAAGAACTAAAGCCAAGTAAGGTTAGATTGACGACACCGGAGTATTTTCTCAAAAAGACGGTCAGAAGCACTCTTTATTGGCAGGGAAAGAAAAGTCCAAAGTCCATTTGTATATATGATCAAAACAATACATGGTATTCTTTTTTTCTTTTTTTTTGAGACGGAGTCTCGTACAGACTGGAATGCAGCAGGGCGATCTTGGCTCACTGCAACCTCTGCCTCCCGGGTTCAAGCAATTCTCCAGCTTCAGCCTCCCAAGTATCTGGGACTACAGGCATGCACCACCACACTCGGCTAGTTTTTGTATTTTTAGTAGAGATGGGGGTTTCACCACGTTGGCTAGGCTGGTCTGGAGCTCCTGACCTCAAGTGGTCCACTGCCTCAACCTCCCAAAGTGCTGGGATTACATGCATGAGCCATTGTGCCCGGCCAATATATGGTATTCATAAAGTCCCTTTGCTATATAGGTCATGCTGACCCTGGCTGATCTAAACATGACCTTCAGGCTTCCCTGCAGAGCCTGGTGAATGCCTGTATCACACTCGACCCACCCTCCGGCAGCATCCTTCCCGAATGCCCATGCCCCCCATGTGTCCGTAAATGTGCTTACACCCTCAGTTCCTCTCTCCAAATCTGAGTAGAACTCTCATTAACCATATTCCCCCATTTCTTGCAACAGAAGATTTGAAGAATATATTTTGGGAAGGTTGACCTGTTTTACTGACAATATTACCTCTCCATACTTAAAACAAGAAGTTACTTTGTTACCCAGGCCAAAATCAACAATTACTGAATCTCAGTTTGGGGTCACATATTAACAAAGGAAGTTACAGAAGTCTTTACTAGGTTTTATCAATTCTCACTAGCAATCTGCTTTACATAGATTTTAAGTATTCGTTTATTGTAAAGAACAATTACTACTGTAATAAACTAGTCAAAATTTACATATTGATTACTACTTGGGACTTACTTCTACCAGCCTTATCTTCAGGAAAAATGTCCTCCTTTATCACTTCCACTTCCCTGAACAACTCTTGAATTCATCACACCAACAATCAAAATCTTGTTAAAGTATTTGCATTTTAAAATAGCAAACTGTATTTTTCCTTCCTAAAATAAATGACCTGAAAACTTGGAGGGCTATTAGCAGCATGAAATATGAAGTTTGGCACATACTGGTTAACTCAAACAAATATTTGTTTAATTGATGAATGGGCATTCCTTCTGGCTTTACTCACGCTAGGTCACGTTCTCAAGCCCAGCTGAGACCGTGTGTGTGCGAGTGTGCAATTAATCGTGCATGCCCGTGTCAGCTCTCTTGCTCCCTGAGGCTTCAGCTGCTAATTTCAGCTTTTTCAGTTATTAGTAACTGTGAGTGTTGACAATATGAAAGACCTTACTTTGAAAGACGGCTGCATTCAATTTCATTTTTAAACAGAAATGAAGGGAAAGGGCTCATCTAAGAGACTGGACACCTATGTTCCAGCAGACTTCTGACCGCAAAGAGCCCTGAGACATCTGGATCCTCAGTGAATCTCTGACCAACCAAGACTCACACAAAGTGGAAGATGATGTTAGCTGATCACTTCTTTACTGAATATGACTTTACGTGGTTGGTTTTCCTTTCACCTTGCATATTTTTTTGAAACGGGGATACTTATCTGTGGGTCAATGTTCACAGAGGGGAAAACATTCCTTGGCTATTATGTAACTGGTATGTGAAGCAGACTAAAATGTTTGAATTCTGAACTCTATATAGATTTCCTGGCATATAAATCCTACTTACCTGGCAAGCTATTTTACCAGTACAACCCCCACTGACTGAGGATAGTGTGATGAATTTGAGAGCAGTAAGTGTTAATCATATGAAAAATAATCCAGGAGCATGGATGTGGTATCAAATGTAATATTTATGTCTTGCCTAAATTTCTAGACTGTGCCTAACTGTAGCCTTGATTACTGATACGCCTATCTTATTAGCTCTTTTGGTATTTCAGCATGACTTTACTACCCAGAAAACCACAGATTCCAGCATAACACAAGAATAACCCAACTGAAATACAGGGATTGTTGACTCTACCTAAAGATAAATATATCAAAACTTCTAATTTTGCCAGCCATTTTAATGTGCTTTAGAAAGGACCAAAACACAACAAAAGCCCCTCCCTTCCCCTACCAAACCCCACTTAGACCATATCAAGGGCTCAGGCTCCTAGCGGCTAAAGTTAGCAAAAGAATCTAAATGTGAGTAATTCTGAAGTGACGTATTCCGAAAAGGATTAAAAGAGTATCCAGGCCTGGAGCTGGGGGCCATTATGGTAGCGAATGAAAGCAGGAACAGAAAACCAAATACCACATGTTCTCACAAGCGGGAGCTAACTAACGAGAACACATGGACACATGGGAACAACACACACTGGCCTTCTTGAGCGTAGAGGGTGGGAAGAGGGAGAGGAGCAGAAAAAATAACTATTGAGTATTAGGCTTAGTACCTGGGTGACAAAATCTACATCAAACTCCTATGACACACAATTTAGAAATACAGCAAACCTGCACGTGTACCTGTGAACCTAAAATAAAAGTTAAAGTATTCAGGCCATAAGGGATACTTAAACTTACTTTGTTCCATATAGTAAATTCAGCAATATGTCACATTCTTAAAAGAATACTTTTAAGATTTAAAATGTAAATAAGTTTAAATTGCCACCAAGACCTAAGTTCAACTTATGTTCTACAAAAATTTAATTTCAAAATGATTCTGAATTGCTTCCCCAAAGAAACAAAAAAAGCTGCAAATTTTGCTTTGTCTTACTGGATCCGACCACTGTTTCATTACAGGTTACAGGTCTCACAAGGCCAGATCTTTAATTTTCATCAGAAACCCATATAAGACAATGTCAGAAAGATGGTTTTTAATGGATATTTATGCATTAAAAAAAAAAAAAAAAACTAAAAAGGCACTGTTGATCATAAAGACTGACTTTTCTCCTACTAGAAACGGCTACAGGAAAGCTTTGCCACAATATAAAAAAACAGAAGTCAGAGCAAACCTCTCAGCTGATTAAAGCTCTGTCCTGTTTCAGATGCCTGCACTGTTCCTGCTGCAAAAAGCAGTGCACAGGCCGAGGGCCAGTCATTGCTTCCGGACTGTTCCTTTTTATTAGAATTTCTTTATGTGGTCTTGAGGGACAGAAACTAGATACTTAAAAAACAAAGCTTTTCTGTATTACAGATTTTAAGTCAATAATAAATGTTTTTAATTTAGGATGCAGCAGAGTTCTTAACTAAGATGGCAATATGCAAATAAGAGTCAAAATGCAATTATTCTTTAAATATTGTTTTCATATTCTAATCCCCAAAAATGAAAAATGAACGAGTTGAATAAAACAAAAATCACACATTGTATGTTTAATAGATGAATATTTTATGTAAAACTCTAGCTTTGTTAAAATGTATCACCTAGCACTGACCATTTGTTCCTGTAATATATAAGTTTAAGCATTTCACTTTTAGAATAAGTAACTGAATATTAAAAGTGAATTTCCTTGCACAGAATCTAGTGCTTCATGACCTGATTGGTAGTGAGGATGTGCACGTATCCCTGCTTTAAAAGTGCATTTAAAAAATTATACTAAAATGTATATAACATAAAATTTACTATTTAACAATTTTTAAGTATATGGCATTAATTACATTTATATTGTTCTGCAACCATCACTACCAGAACCTCCAGACTGGTTCATGTTCCCAAGCAAACTCTATACCTTAACCAATGTCCCCCTGGTTCCACATTCCCCTCACCCCCAGGCAATCATCATTTTCTTTTCTGCCTCTATGATTTTTACTACTCTAGAATCTTACATAAGTGGAATCATACAGTATTTGTCTTTTTGTGACTGGCTTGTTTCATTGAACATAATGCTAGAGTTTCATTCATGATGGATTACAGAATCTCCTTCCTTTTTAAAGGCTGAATACTATTCCAACATACATGTATAGCACATTTTGTTTATCCATTCATCTGGCAGTGGACATGTGGGTTGCTTTCACATTCTGGCTATTGTGAATGTTGCTGCTATGAACAGGGATATACAAGTATCTTCTGATCTAACGATCTAACTCCTGTTTTCTATTCTATTTTTTTTTTTTTTGAGATGAAGTCTAGCTCTGTCGCCCAGGCTGGAGTGCAGTGGCACGACCTCAGCTCACTGCAACCTCCACCTCCCGGGTTCTAAGAGATTCTCCTGCCTCAGTCTCCTGAATAGCTGGGATTACAGGCATGTACAACCACGCCCAGTTAATTTTTGTATTTTTAGGAGAGACGGGGTTTCACCATGTTGGCCAGGATGGTCTCGATCTCCTGACCTCGTGATCCGCCCACCTCGGCCTCCAGCAAGGCTGGAGCAAGGTAAGCGCACCGGCCGGCCCTGTGTAGCTTGTGTGGGGCATGATAGCGCCATAAGTGGAATTGGCTAGTCATTGTAGCAATTCTTATTGTAATTTGTTTGAGAGACTGAAGACCAGAAGTGCACAGTGCGTAACAGGTTCACATTTCCCGACCAACAGGGGTACAAGAGTTCCCGAAGTTATCCACAGTCGCGGCGCAACAAGACTGATTTTCTGTTCTTTTGATACGTAAGCGCAGATGGTGGATGGCAGAGAGTGGGGTTCTTGGTGGTTTTGATTGAGCATTTGTCGCTTGAATGATTAGTGAGTATGCTAGTATCTTATAAGATGCTTACTGGCCATTGGCATATGCCCGGTAAGAGAGGAAGATGTTCTAGGTCGAAGTGCCGCT